ACACGGAGACATTTTCATTTCTTTCAGTGATGTTTTAGTTGTGTACAAGAGGAACATTCTTATCGTTTCAGTCATGTTTTTCTTTGATGGAATTCAGGTACATGTGACTGTCTGCTTACTTTGAACTGACCAATGTAAGGCTTTGGGTAATAAGTTTACAGTCGAGTTGATTAGTAAGTCTGATTTTAGTTGCCACTGTTATTAAAAGTACATTGGGCTGATATCCATTTAACCATTTAAGGGGAGAATAGTCCATTTTGCATAGTTTTCCAGACACTCGCTGTAAAGCTTAATGCTAGCCTATTTAAGAAGAAATTTCGATTCATTTTTAGCTCCCACAGCTTCATTTTTGAACTTTGGGAGAAAAATAAATTTTGGGAAATTTCACCAGGGGCACTCAACGAAAATATAGTTCAAAACCATTTAAACATAGCATTGTTGAACGTATTTTAGTATTTAAACGGTAGATATAGGCATATTTTTATCCCCTAAAAATTTTTCATCTGTTCAGATCTTCTAGCTGAAAGTCTAGTGATCCGAAAATTATAGGGATCAAAACTTACCTTTTCGAAAATTTCAGCCAGAAAATAGGCTCCCGAAAACTCTTGGTTACCTTTTTAGGGTAAAAATCCGTTAGAAATGGACAATTATACCATATATGTTCGAAAATCCTAGGAGAGGTAGGCAAGCAAGAAATTTTGCAAAAAATGTTCCGAAAATTCTAGATCTCAAATCGTCCTCCGAACAGATATTTTCCAAAATTGACGTTGGGTGCCCCTGATGTCACTGTGGTTGCAGAAAATCTGCATGCCCACATTGCCTCAAGAACTTTTCTCCACCATTGTAACTTAATGGACTGATTTTATAGGACAAGTTTGAGTAAGAGTTTGTATTAACGATATGCATTTGCACATGTTTGCATTGGTGACCTTTATTTCAGGGTGTCTGTAGTGGGATTGTACGAGGGGCTGGCCGACAGAGGATAGGAGTGCTGATCAATTTTCTATCATTTTTCATTTTTTTTTTTAACACGAGAAGAGAAATTTCGTATCTACAAGCGGCCATGTAATGTTCTATTTATTATATAAACACCAATGAAATACCAAACCATTTCACTTTAATACTGAGTTTTTTCGGTGTGAAAGGCGCGATTTATTATGTAGCCATAGCAAAGGTGATCCTTTCACATGTGAATTAGATAACGTGTTATTTTCACATGTGAAGATATCAAGTTTTCGCGCGAAAGCTCACCTGGTATTTCATTGGTGGTTATATAATAAATTCTATTATTCCCTGGAGGGGTTCTTGTTATTGTTGCTGCGTGTGTATGATGACTTGACCCGTCCCCTCCCTGCAAAACCCAGCCCCATTGAAGGGGGAGTGGACCACGCAACACCATCTGGGTGAGCCGTCTGCCATTTTGTCTTTCTTCAACGGAGAAAGCCCATTCTTTAATTGAGGTGCCACAGGCAGCCCATTAACGCGTTATATGCATTCTTGTTTATGCGTTGCTTACACTAATTTGCTAACCTGGTTTTCAAAAATCTAGATAGAAATGTAAATTGAGAAAGATATAGTGATCGATATTATTTGAACATGGGAGAAGACAACAGGTACAGCACCGTAGCTGACAGGATTTGAACGACAGATCTTCCAAACACTGGGCGGAGCTCTTTCGAACCTAGCTGTGGAAAAATGTCATATATGAGGTTCATAAGTGACATTTTTCACTCTAAGGATCATGCAGCAATGTTGGAGGCGTACCCTATGGTGATAATTAAAAATAGGTGATAAGCTTTAAGCTTGGTAGTAAATGAGAGATTACATGTAACTGTTGGTGTCTGCAGTTGTTGTTGTTGTTTTCTGTATTAACTAGTGCTATCGTTGTTTTCTTTCTAAGGGACCCTTGGTGAAGTGCAGTTGGCATCGTTTGGAATTCTTTTTAGTTGGGCAGCCTTTGTATTTATGGTAAGGGTAACTTTTTTTAAATCTTACTCTTTTTCATGGATCTAAATATCTATCGCCACTCTATGTTAGAAAAATTCCAGTAAGGGGTCTTTCGATCCCTCTTCTGGGCCCAGTTGTTCAAAAGCTGCGGGATAACGCAAGGGTTTCCTTAATACTGATCCGCTGGATTAGTGAACTTTGTTATATAGAGCGGTTTTCACTTGACTGTCGTAAAACCAAAACCAAAGTAAATACACTAGCCAACCAAAGGGCGTAGTAAAACCAAAACCAAAACCAAAACCAATCCCTTTCGACAGTCAAGTGAAAACCGCTCTATTAATGACATCCATAAATCTTCCAAAGAATTTACTTTTTATTTATTCGCAGATGATACAAGTCTAACCTATGCAAATGACAACTAACGTACTCTTGAACTAACTGTCAACAATGAGCTTGAGAAAGTAAGTGAATGGCTTAATGCTAACAAACTAACGCTCAACGTCAAAAAGTCTAATTATGTCATTTTTCGTCCGCGCCAAAAAACAATACCTTTCATTCCTCAAATTAAGATTTTTAATCCAACTTTAAATACTTGAGTAATTCTAGAGATGAAGGACTTTGTTAAATATTTGGGTATAGTGATTGATTCTGAACTATCATGGAAGCATCATATTGACTTTGTCTGTCACAAAATTAGTAGATTGGTTGGAATAATTGCTAAAATGAGGCATTACATTCCACGGCATCTTCTTTTGAATTTATATCATGCACTTATTGCTCCTTACTTAAATTATGGTATCTGTGCATGAGGCAACTGTCCACAGACCTACCTCAATAAGATACTTATTCTGCAAAAACGTGCTCTGCGTTTGATTTATTTTTTCTAAACCCAGAGACCATGCAATCCCTTTTTTTATTGAATCAAACTGCCTTCCTTTGCAGTCTTTGTTCTTTCAACAGTTAAGCTATTTAATGTATGACGTTCATGCTAAGACAGCTCCTAAAAGTCTTCTCGATAAGTTTGCGAAAATCAATACAAAACATCATTATAATACACGATTATCTGCAAAAGAATGTTTCTCTGTCAAATTCTCTAGAACTGAAAAAATGAAAAAATCTTTTACTAGAATTGGTGTGTCTATCTGGAATTCTATTCCACTTTCTGTTAAGACCTTCAACATACCTAATTTTCGTAAAAAAACTAAATACCTACTCCTTAATGTTCTAGGTAATGAAGATAATTATTTGAATGTGAATTATTTAAGAGAATATTTTGTGAAGTTAACCTGATATGTTGTATTTAGTAAAATCCAACTAGTGGTCTGTTATCAATGCTGCGTTCTGATTGGTTGAGCTACTACTGGGCTATATATAATATAGCCCCCTAGTGGCGAAAAGCGCGGGCTTTTTGGCGGCAAAAAAGGATTAAAGTCTAACTTTAACAAGCTAATTTTTTTTTATTCTCGATATTTTTGACCAACTAGTTGCATTTTACTAAAACAATTATTCCTCTCGCCCTCATGGCCTTTGAGTCAATATCCCATTCGGCCTTTAGCCTCATGGGCTATTGACTCAGAGCCATGAGGGCGAGAGGAACAATTGTTAAATACCTCCACCTGTAATTTTAGTCCTTTTCAAATAACAAAATCCCCTGTACTTGAATTTATATGTAAGGTGTTTCTATCTGTATGTTTTTGTATTTCTTTTCTTTTCTTTTTTCTTATGTAATTTAATAACGTCTTTATTTAAAGTCTTGTCCTGCCTAGATTAGCATTATAGATATTTACAGCACATAAAATTGTAACCTTTATATTTCTTTAAATAAATACATTGTTGTTGTTCTTAGTTGTTGTTGTTGTTAGTAGTTATCCGGTGGATATCGTTATCCAACATTTGAACAACCGAGACCTGGAAGTCACTTTGGTGTTTTGCAAGAGTCCTCCTACGCACCCCCTCTCTGGCACTGAATTGAAATCTGAGTGTGTCTATTGTAGATACCACTGGGATTGAGTGTTGCTGCTGGGGTTCGTGTTGGAAATTTCCTTGGTGCTGGCAACCCAAAGGCAGTAAAAAAGACGATTAAAGTGGCCCTGGGATTAATAGGTAAACGCGTTTAATACAACTGGGTTTAAAATATTAGACTACAAGTAGTCCCCTCATTTACCTTAGGGATAGTAAAGCGAGCGAAAGACGCGAGTGCGCGTGGAAATCGCCATCTGCGAGGAAGGTGCCGCGATTTTCACTCGCACTCGCGAATATTGCTCACTCATCATCCCTGGGGTAAACGAGGGACCGAAGCTTACTATATATACGCTTTTCCTGTCCTTTTCTTATTTCTCTGTTTTCTTTGTTTCCCCGTCTAGTTTATTAAAGCAAGCTAGTAACGCGTTTTGGTTAGTAAAAGAGGCGACTCGGAAGAAGAAAATTCAAGTTTTACCAATAGTAGTCGAGCCTATGACTTTCTTGCCACAGTTGTTCAATCAAGATATAGCGTTATCCACTGGATTAGTCACTATTCAGCGGATAAGTATTAGCAAGAAACCAATTGCGTTATCCGCCTGATAGTGACTTATCTGGGCCGAGTTGTTCAAAGCTGGGTTAAGATAACCCAGGGTTAGTGCGAGATTTGAATTCAGATTTGAAAGCTTAAAAAGCATTGCAGCTTTAATTCTTTTCGTCTACAAGTTGATGATTGGAAGCTCTAAAAATAGCACAGAAAATTATCCAAGAAAATGCTTTTGAACACACGAAAAAGAAACCCGGTTTAAATTTAACCCCTGGTTAAGCGCAAATCGGCCTTCGAACAACTAGGCCCTGGTGAATAGTGCTATTCAACTGTTGAACAACTGGGTTCCGGTTAGTATAGTCTTGATGCTCCACACCTGGAACCTGAACTCAGACAGAATCGATGGTTACAGTGGGCTCAATCTCCAGCCTTTGGTGTCTCGATGTGCCCTTCGGGAGTACCGAATCCGCATCGAGACACCAAGGCTGAAGACTGTGCCTATGGTTGTAGGAGCTATGGCTATTTCAGGTGATTCCCTGGTTTTGCACTGCGCATCTCTTACTGCGCATAACAAGACATCCTCGGAGACCCAGGGGCAGTCAGTCGAGCGGGGAGAAAAGGCGCGACGTAAGTTTTCAAGCACGGGCGGAAGAGCCCCTGTGTACCTACTCTCACCGGACCATTTCCATACGGTCAAGCGAATACTGGCTCCTGATTGGGCACAAAAAATTATTTGTATTGTTGTGCCCAATCGGCGAACAGCGTCTCCTGAGTTCTTTTCGTGAGTTCGTACATGACGGCTATTGACTCGATCACGGCTTGTCTGGCTCATGCACCAAAGAAATGCACGCAGTCAGGAAACTTTCAGTTTGATATAAACTCTCCATTTCAAAATACTGTCTACCCGAAAACTAAAGACGCTTTTCCGAAAATACAAGCTTGAGCTTACAACAGGTATTCACGGTTGCATCGATCACGTCTTCGTAAATATTAGGGAGTTTAAGATGCCACGACAACTGACAGCCACGAAAACGTCGCATAAAATATGAAGTCACATTTTTTCAGTCTCTATCGCGATTATTCCAACTCGCTTACTTTGTTAAATGCAAGCGAACTCTTCTGGAGCTGAATTTCTATCAACCATATCCAAGTTCATAAAGAGAAAGAAAGTTTTGTCACTCATTGCTTGTTTACGTCCTTCACAAAACGTGAAACTAGGCGTTTTCATGTGGTAGTCCTGCAGTGACGGCAAAGAAATGTAAAAGCGTGATGCACGTGCAAAGTTGTTGTTTTGCTTTGTCAAGCTGTAAATGTTTTTTATTTCTTGTCGCCGCCGCATCTTAAACTTCTTATTATTTACGATACATTGTGATCCCGCAGAAACAGAATTTTCTCAGTGCAAATTGAATTGCTCCTGCTGATAGCGTCCGAAACATCGACTCATCGGTAGTTCCTTTGTCTGGTTAGGAAAGCTTGGTGAAAGAACCGGGCAACTGTGGCGAGATAATAGCCGTCGTGTACGAACTCACGAAAAGTACTCAGGAGAAATTGTTCGCCGATTGGGCACAATAATACAAAGCATTTTTTGTGCCCAATCAGGAGCCAGCATTCGCTTGACCGTTTGGAAATGGTCCGGTGAGAGTAGGTACCCAGGGGCTCTTACGCCCGTGCTTGAAAACTTTCGTCGCGCCTTTTCTCCCGGCCCGACTGACTGCCCCTGGGTCTCCGAGGATGATAACAAGATGGCCTCCGTAAAAAAGAGCATGTGAAGTAACATTATTAAAATGAAGTTGACTGAAGAGAAACGCTATTGCATTTTTTGCTTGCGGTTGTTTCTTGCCGAGGTGAGACTCTATTTGGTGGGAATGTGCCTAACGTAAGCAGTACGCGTGTTGCTGAGTTCGACTTCCTCACGGAGAACCTCGATAGTGGATGTTTCATTTGTGCTTATTCACTTTGATTTTCATTTAAACGCTTTCTTTATCACATCGTGTCCTTAATGTAGTATCTCGATGAAAATTCTGTTGCAACGGATTTTTTAATACTTTCTTTCCCCTTTCGCCTACATTCTATTTTGAAACTCGCCCCAGTCCTCTCTCAAAAATCAAGGAAAATGCATTTGGTGCGCACTTTCTGCAGCTCTACCGCAAAAACGAGTACGGTGACCCCCATTTTTTATTTCATGATTTTAATAAGAACAGTGCTTCCTTTTGGTGAGAAAAAAAATTGGCACAAATCTATGTTCAGTTTTTTGACAATTTTACTAAATTGTACGGATTGAGCCATCACGGGTCGAAAAGCGCGCGTCCAATTTAACTCTACTTTGGAGCGTAAAGGAAAAACAAGGGCATTACAAGGCATTTTTCTGGTACGTAAGTGGATAAACAATACATTAAAGTCAAATTCTGTACGATACCACATGCATCATTGAAAAGATCTTTCCTTTTTGTCTAGTTTTGGGCTGCGCGCGGTTTTTGTCAAAGGGTCCAAAATAGCCGTATTTGTCAGCATTGTGACGTCGAATCGAGCACGGTGACCCCCACTTTTTATAACCTTTTTATCATCTTCTTGACTTGTTACATCAGTGTACCGAGTTTCATCTACAATCTATGTTAGGTTCTTTTACTAGGGAATCACCTTAACTAGGTTCATGTGCGTAGGACGTACTCACTATCGTACTGCTTAACAACAATCCTTTGAATTTCCATACGTATTCATTAATTTTTGCTTCTATCTGACAGTTTCTGTAGAACTTATCATACTTACGGTCTTCCTTGGACTTGGAGATATAAGTGGTCGTGTCTTCACCAGCAGTAGGTTTGTAAATACCATATACGCGTTTATTATCTATCTGCATTTTAGTTATTAAACAGGAAACGCAGGAAATGAGTGCAAATTTCCCACGACATTTTGTACAGTTGGTTATTTGTATACAGTAAGAGCAAACCTGTTTGACAGGTCGCCGAGCTCATCAGTGTTAAAATCTCCGGTCCCAACAAAAATCAAAATTGGTTATTTTTTCTAGCATTTACCGCGAGGAGTTTATACTACCGGGTATTTTCCCAACTTTTACCTAGCATTTGAAAACTGGTTTACCAGTCGTACACTAAGAAAGTGCTGTACGGTAAGAGAAACGAAATGGGTTGACTCCTGCTCCAATTGACGACTTCATCAAGTAAGAGTAAACTGTAAACAAAAATGGTTCAGCAAGTAATAAAAGCGAGAAAAATTTTATCTGACTTGAATGCCATCTGAACAAGATGATGTTCCTTTATTGGCGAGGCACGTGTACCATTGAGGTCGTTTTTGTAAGCTTTTTTAAAGGCTTTTTTAAAAATAAGCTCAATGCAATCAAGACGTCCCCGCGCGAGTTTGACCAAACAGTTGTTATGCTCGAGTTCTTTAGCGAAGGATGTGGCCGCCATTACAAGCTGCGGAGAACTATCGGAGTTATTTGGTAGATGTGTTTGTGTTACTAGGAAAAAACCAGTCAGATCAGATGAGAGAGAAATGCATAGCAAGTGCCAGTTACAATAATTAGTATGTACTTTGTTTGTGTGGCTTGAATAATCAATTTCATTGGTTATTAAACGCTGAAAATTCCTGATAAAATAGGCGATCATTCATTTTGTTTTTTACCTCTGTCTGCGTCTTACAAAAGTGTTTTTTTTTTTTTAAATTTTACACGTAGACATTTTCATTTCTTTCAGTGATGTTTTAGTTGTGTACAAGAGGAACATTCTTATCGTTTCAGTCATGTTTTTCTTTGATGGAATTCAGGTACATGTGACTGTCTGCTTACTTTGAACTGACCAATGTAAGGCTTTGGGTAATAAGTTTACAGTCGAGTTGATTAGTAAGTCTGATTTTAGTTGCCACTGTTATTAAAAGTACATTGGGCTGATATCCATTTAACCATTTAAGGGGAGAATAGTCCATTTTGCATAGTTTTCCAGACACTCGCTGTAAAGCTTAATGCTAGCCTATTTAAGAAGAAATTTCGATTCATTTTTAGCTCCCACAGCTTCATTTTTGAACTTTGGGAGAAAAATAAATTTTGGGAAATTTCACCAGGGGCACTCAACGAAAATATAGTTCAAAACCATTTAAACATAGCATTGTTGAACGTATTTTAGTATTTAAACGGTAGATATAGGCATATTTTTATCCCCTAAAAATTTTTCATCTGTTCAGATCTTCTAGCTGAAAGTCTAGTGATCCGAAAATTATAGGGATCAAAACTTACCTTTTCGAAAATTTCAGCCAGAAAATAGGCTCCCGAAAACTCTTGGTTACCTTTTTAGGGTAAAAATCCGTTAGAAATGGACAATTATACCATATATGTTCGAAAATCCTAGGAGAGGTAGGCAAGCAAGAAATTTTGCAAAAAATGTTCCGAAAATTCTAGATCTCAAATCGTCCTCCGAACAGATATTTTCCAAAATTGACGTTGGGTGCCCCTGATGTCACTGTGGTTGCAGAAAATCTGCATGCCCACATTGCCTCAAGAACTTTTCTCCACCATTGTAACTTAATGGACTGATTTTATAGGACAAGTTTGAGTAAGAGTTTGTATTAACGATATGCATTTGCACATGTTTGCATTGGTGACCTTTATTTCAGGGTGTCTGTAGTGGGATTGTACGAGGGGCTGGCCGACAGAGGATAGGAGTGCTGATCAATTTTCTATCATTTTTCGTGGCTCTTTCCGTTGGGATCACTTTAATGTTTTTTGTCTTCCATGAAAGCGCAGGTAAAAAAGACATGTTCATAAACTCTTGGAGCACGGAAACAGAAGCTCTTGACTTCTGATAGGATTTATTATAACTGCTGAGGAGTTTTGATTAAAGCGTAAATCTAACCAAAACGACAAAGCGATGATACAAAACGGAAAAAAATAAATTTTGATTCTATGTGATTGATAGACGTTATAGTAAAATTGTTGTTTTGGACCTCAAAAAGGGTAGTGCTTCGGTATAAAATGAACAAAAGTATTTTTCGCTCCATGTAAGGGAATCCAAGACAGTCTTGGATTGCAGATTCCACGCTGTCGATTCCGGATTCCAGGAAGTGCATTCCAGTCTTTGTCAGTGGAATTGGGATTCCGGATTCCTTGAGCTTTTTTCTGGATTCTAAAGCGCAAGATTCCTGATTCCACAAGCAATAATTTCCCAGATTCCGGAATCCGTATTCCCTTACTTGACGTGAGTATTTTAGTCAAATTCCTGTCCTTGTTGTTGGGGGCCCGGTCGCCGTTCATATTAACGGAATGTCCGCAATAGCGAGCTGTCTGTAGGGTGGGAGTTGACTATTACTTATTTATTATTATTATTATTATTATTATTATTATTATTACTATTATTATTATTATTATTATTATTATTATTATTAAAGAATTAGGAATTTAGGAATACGAGATTTTTAATTCTTTTTAACTTGTTTTCTTTTTTAATATCGGAGACGGATTGATAATGACTTAATTTAAAACTCTGGACTGCCTGCAAGAGTTAGTGAGCATCCGCATCTGAGCCCCAAGAAATGTATTTGTGAAATCGTTATTGACACAGTGATTGCCATTTTTATTATTTATACTATTCTTAATGTTATATAGTGCTCAATTCTTACTCCAAATATTTCTGTAAATTATGTACATATTTTTTAAAGTTGAATAAAACTATTACTTATCCTTAAAAAAAATCATTATTAGTATTATTATTATCATTATCATTATAATTATATTTTGCATTTTTTCTTGTTGTCTTAAAGGTCTGTGGATTGGTATTTCAACTGGAGTATTTCTTCAGGTAGGCATGCCTCATGACGACTCCCATTTCACATCCGTAAAGTTTAGTAAGTATAAGTAGCTTTTCCCGGCCAATTGCTACTTTCGTGGTAGACTTGCTACAAGTCGACCTACGAGTTTCTTAAAGGTGATATAACACGAGACGATTCGCAACATTGTTGCGACATTGCTTCGAATGGTCACAACATTGTGCAGCATAGCAACGCTGTGTTGCACTAAAAATCGTCATGGGAATCCACCCGTGTAACATCACCTTAACGAGCGGAGCGAGCTATAGGCCGCGAAACGGCCAAGCGAGGGATGAAGTCGCTAGAGGTCGACCTTCGTCCCGCGCCATATTAATTCGGACGAAGAACTTTGTGAAAGTCCACTTTCAAGTGATCGTTCCTTTTTGGGTGTCCAGCTGAAATGTGTAACGTATTGTGTGTAAAGGCGTGAAAACACACTCAGTAAGCGATGTCTCGAGGACAGACGTCCAGTTGACAAAACTAAGATTAATTCTAAACCTACGACTGTTTCCATGCAGTTTATTTCACTACAGAAAATTCATTCCTCACATGACTTAGTCCGTAAGGCGAGGCACATTTAATAGATAAGGCCATGACTCTTGAACGTAATGGCCTAAACCCCCGGGACGAATTGCAATCTTTATCCTTATTAATTTTCTCTCCCTTTTAAACAATTTCTGTTGCGACGTTCTCTATTTAAAAAATATACCGAGTAATAGTTCTATCATAGCTTCACTAACATCTGTAAACCTGAACAGCCTGAAGAAGGCTAGTGTGGCAAGCCGAAATATTGTTTTCAAAAAAAGCAATACACGCTGCTATATCAGCTCTGCAGTAGGCTTTAGACGTCTGGTTTTTTTTGTTTTTCATATTTTCGCCGATTAGATCTCTTTTCTAGAGATCCAACGTTGACAACCAGCAGGATCGTCGTCCACGGTTTTTGCTAGTAATTTCTTTAATGTTGTCAGAAAGATTGTTAGCAGTATGATCAAAAAAAGAAGTTTGGAATGCATGGCATAGCTCTTTTACTTGTGTACTTGTGCTTACACTACTGACAATATTTTATCTTATCTTTCCTTTGTTCATTTCAGGCTTGTTTATATTTATTTCTTCTGTGGAGAACAGATTGGGACAAACAAGCTGAATTAGTAAGTGATGCCTTTTTGCAGGGTATTGAGAAAGTCTTAAGCCCAACATCTGTCCTCTAATATTTAACAGTTTTGTAACTTCTGCACTAACCTATATAAATATAAACACAAATGCAGCAAATCACTGAGAATATTGGATTATGGCCTGTGCGGTAACGCCATAACGCCACTTTATTAAAGAAAATGCAAACAACTAGTACAAAATAGAAATGAAAACGTCAAATAGAGTAAGCCGTGCCAGGGGGGCCAGAAAAAACCTAACCTAAAAAACCCCGTGGGGAAAAAGGGATAGGAAATCTGGGGCGGGCCAGGCACGACTTAAGTCCCCCGCCAAGACTACTAATAAACTAAATAATTGTAATAAACAAACGAAAACTAAATAGCAATAGTTTGAGCAACTTTTAAGCGATCACTAACGGTGTGCTTAATGTATCTGTTCTTTGAAGTGGCACATTTCCAGCCAGCATGCATATCTAGCAGATCAGCGGAAACACTCCGACAAGCAGGATTTGAGGCGGCACCAGACTTTATACTGTGCGTGCCGTAAAGAGCAATGTCACCTACAAATGGTTTAACAAATTTCTTAAATTCATCTCTTAGCGTTGAATATGAAACTCCTCTAGAAGCATGAAAACACTCCCTAGACTTAGTTTTAACGATTCGCCTAACGAGGGGCGAAGATGACTCACAAGTTGAAGGGAAAAGCTTAAGTAACCTTTCGGTGATAGAAACTGGGCAAGTAGCCTTATGAGACCTAGCTAGAAAGGACGTATGCCCTTCTCTATACTGATCATTTTTGCGTTTAGGAATAAAAACTGACATGTACTCGTTGAAAATAGAGACATCTCTAACTGTCAAATTGCGAATTTCGTCCATACGAAAAAACCCAGCAAAGCCAACCAAGAGGACGAAAAGAAAACGAATAACGGCAAGCGAACTACTAGAAATATAATATTCAGCGATCCTTAAAACTGTGTCAACGGATAAAGGCTCTTTGGGTTGAACAGGACGAGCAAGCTTCCTTCTTGCACCCTCCAAGGACGACTTAACAAGGGGGTGACCAGTAGGGCATTCTACAATACCGGCCAGACTATGACCCCACTTAATACCATAAACAACTGACTCTATAGGAGATATCCCCGTATTATTAGAAATAGAAACAGCAGTAAGTTCGCTGATAAAGAGAGCAATGTGCAGTGGCTTCGCTGGAATAACTGAAACGCCAATCTTAGAATCTGCCCATTCACGCCATCTGATCCAGCCAGATCTATACTTCTGCACGGTAGAGGGAGCCTTGGACTCAAACTGTAAATGGAGAAGGTCTGGAACAAGCTTGCGCAAGGATGGATCGGCCAAAGAATTCGCTTCACTCCAAATCCCGGATTGGAGAACATCTAAAAAATAAAATAAAAGTAGGCAGGAAAAGGCAAAACATTTAAAATTATAATACAGTAGAAAATATGATGCTGCATCATAATCATGCAGCACGGACAGTACTACAGCGTAAAAACGACATGTAATGAGAAACAACGACAAACGGAAGCCGAACTGGCTGGGCCCAGTAATGCTGTAAAAAACAGTAAAAAATACAACAAAATAGCAAACATTCGATAAAACAAATGTAGACCAATAAAATAAAACATAAAATAAGGCCAACTGACGGCGCCAAAACAGGCAAACTGCGTGGTGAAGCGGACATCGAACTCCGAGCCAAGAAGACGCTGCCAAATCAGGCAAAAAATACACCGCCAAATCAGGCAAAAATACGCTGCCAAAACAGGCAAAACAAAGCTGCCAAATCAGGCAAAAATACACTGCCAAAGCAGACATGATAACGGTGCCAAATCAGGCAAATAAATAATACCAAAACGAAGCTAACAAAAGATAAACCTAAAACACCGACAATAATGAGCTGTAAGGGGAGACAAAAATGGGAAAGCTCACCTAAAATCTATCCGCAAAGCTAACATTTTAAATTTCGGGCAGCCGCTGAACACCGACGGACGCGCTTTGTAAATCTGCTTCTGTCCTGGACCCTCCAGCAAGAGGTCTTCAATACAAGGAAGCTCAAACACTTCTTTAACAAAAGACTTGAACTGGGAGGCGTTGTCGTGCAAAAAAGGCCAAAAATAGGCCGAAGGCCATTGTGGAACGATCAAAGTGCCGTAACCGGAGCAGGACGAGAGAGCCCTAACTGAAGGCACAATGGCACCCACCGGAGGGCAAACCCAGTTATTCTCATGTCGCCAATCCTGAGCCAAGGCGTCCACACCGCTGCAACCTGGGGAAGCAAATTTAGAGTTGAACCTCGGAAGCTGGGCATTGTAATAGGACGAAAAGCGATCAATTGTGTGAGGGCCCCATTTAGCGTCGACAAGTCGAAATACCGAGGGATTGATGGACCAGTCGTCTTTATCAATAAATCTGCTAAGAAGATCTGCTCTTTCATTAAGAGACCTAGGGATCCACTGGGCTTCGAGAACGATGCTGTTGGCAAGACAAAGATTGAAAATATCCATAGCCAGGGCCTGGAGGTGAGATTTGGAGCTTCCGATAGCAACTATTCTGGCGGCGGCCTGATTATCAGTGAAGATTTTAACTCTCTTGTGTTTCAGTTGAGCCACGTAAGAAAGCAACACGTAAAAAATTGCTTTCAGCTCGCGAAACGTAGAGCTTTGGCCGATATCCTCGCTCTCCCACATGCCGCTAACGACGGAGCCGTCTAAAGTAGCCGAAAATCCTCCGAACGCTACGTCGCTAGCATCGGAAAATACAACGGTATGCGTAGCTAACGGTGGCCTAATAGAATAGCCGTTTAAGCAGTCGATGTTGCAATACCAAAATTTCAGTTCTTGTAAAAGGCTCGGAGGAAAATGAATTATGTCATCCCAAGCCGATCTGGTTTCAATGGCGAAGTACATTTGTCTGGTCAAAAGACGAGAAATTGGACCAACAGCTAACGCAGCTGAAATGATAGTGCCTGCTATTCTCGCTAACTCGCGAAATGAAGAGAATCCATCCTGAATCGCAGAATCTAGCAAGCCTTTAAGCTTGAGAACTTTCTTCTCGGGAATCCGGAAACACATTAAAATAGTATCAATAACGAAGCCTAGCCATTCGCCAATTTGAACTGGATCCCAGTGAGACTTTTCCTCGTTACAAAGAAGACCAGATGAAGAGAGCTCTTTACGTTGAATTAAGCTAGCTGCCACGGCAGAACATTTGTCTGGTCGACTCCCGAAACCATCGTCCAAATAAATGAAACTGTTGTGTCCCATAGAACGCCAACGCCTTACTAAAGGGCGCATTAACTTGGTAAAACAAAAGCAAGCGCTACTTAACCCGAAAGGCAGTACTGTAAAGGAAAAATATCTGACGACGCCAGAAAAAGGCCACGCGAAACCAAGGTACTTTTGGTGGTCGAGACAAATATCGACATGGTGGTAACCGGACTTAAGGTCCCAAGAGAAAAACCAGTGTCCTTCATCGAGAACTTGAGAAAGCGATCGTAAGTCCTCGTACTTGAATATAGGTTTTACTAAATAATTGTTTACGTGTCTCAGATCGATAACCAGGCGAAGCTTCTTCCCAACAGCGACTGTCAAAGGATTAACACAATACGGGGGGAATTCGTGCTCAACAATGCAGCCGTTACTTAAAAGCTCGCTAATAGCATCAGCGACAAATTCCGGATGCTGAAGAGCTGATCTATTGTTCTTCAAAAAGCACTGCGAGGGGTACTCGGCAAACGGCAATCTGTAACCGCGCCTAATCATATCAAGGACAAAATCTGGTGCATCTAAAGTCTCGACCCAAAAGTTAAACGAAGATTGCAAGCGACCTTTCACGCCACTGCTTCCGCCTTTCGCACTAAACTCGTCGCCACAACAAGGCAATAAATGAATTAAATCACACTCAACTTCATCACAGGTCGACGAGTCGCCATCTAGTCAATCGCGTCGAGAGCTACTCTTCGAAGAATCCGCAGGCTTCAAGCACGTGGAACTCAAATGACCAAAATCCCCGCACTGAAAAAAGGGGAACACATACAGAAAAACATGAAAATAAAATCCATAACATAAAAATAAAAGAACAGTGTTGTAGCGTGTGGCGTTGCAGACCCGAAGGAAGAACATACTGACTGACAACAACATATATGAAACGCAATTAACACGTATTACGTAACTACTGAACACTTCATTGAAAAACACAATGAAAATACCAAATTCAGAACGTGCAGAAAACAAATATCTGCTAAACTTCGTACCGCAGATATTTTGATATTCTGCACTAACCTATATAAATATAAACACAAATGCAGCAAATCACTGAGAATATTGGATTATGGCCTGTGCGGTAACGCCATAATCGACGAAGAAAGAAACAAAGATAGTAAAGCGAAAAAGTGCTTGGTACTTATCTTAAAACAGGGACCCAAACGACGAGCTGGTCTAGCCTCCGGGCGTGAAACCAAATCGCTGGATGCGTATCTTGACGAAGTCGCCCGAGATGTAGAGGCGGAGCCACTGCCTTTGTCGCCAGAACGGGCACGACGACGTTTTTCCTTAGTGACCTTTCTCTCAGCTCTCCTCTCGGCCCGGTAAATTCTCTTCTCATCATCTGAGTCAGAGGCGAGTTCGTCGGATAGATACTCATTGACCGTCGCCCATCCAAACTCGCTCTTGTCGGCTAGCTTTATTGCTTTAACACGCTTGGACACTAATTCCGTACCTGACTCCAAAGCAGCCTTAACTTTTTCATAAGATTTGTGCTTCAGTGCGTCGGAAGCTTCGTCTAGCTTGTCCAGCACCTGGAGGGAATGGTCTAACTGCTGCTGGTTATCCTTTCTCTTGCACGTGTATTGCTCGCGACGCGCCTTCTTAACAGCTTGCTCAACGGACGAACTGTTTTCCTCTGAAAAACGCTTGGCAAAATCGGTAAGCCGAGATTCAATGACCTGTGTAAGGTTGTCGGTTAAAGAACCTATAGAACGAGTAACGGCAGCCTGTATAGCAGCGCCAATAGAAGGATCTACGACTTCAGGGTTCGGACGAGAACGAACATTGCTGTCCTCCGCGTCACTCATGTTAAACAGAACAGTGTTGTAGCGTGTGGCGTTGCAGACCCGAAGGAAGAACATACTGACTGACAACAACATATATGAAACGCAATTAACACGTATTACGTAACTTCTGAACACTTCATTGAAAAACACAATGAAAATACCAAATTAAGAACGTGCAGAAAACAAATATCTGCTAAACTTCGTACCGCAGATATTTTGATATTCTCTTGAGTCTTAACTCAGAAGATTCTGGAGATAAAGAACCAAACTATAATCTGTAGCTGTAGCGTAAAAGGAAATCACATTTAGGGCCTGTGTACATAGAGGTGGTTGACCCCAGGTTCGTGACGAAACCTTTGCAGACGGGATAAAAAAATCACCCGAGTTTACATTCAATCTTACAACCCCACCACCTGAGATGCACTTTCTCAAGATTGTTGAATGGTCGCTAAGCTCGTAAAAAAGGATAGCGAGCAAACCACGTGTTTTGGCGGTTAATGCTCGTCTACTCTCACCCGCTGCTCTTGCTGCAATCTCTTAGTGCTGCTACTTTCTATTGTCACTTTTAATGAAATGCAAAACCTCCGCTAAAGGCAGTTAACGAAACATGTTAACTCGAATCTGTCCTCGGCTACCCCACTTGAAACGTTTACTTGGCAAAATTTGGCCCTGACTAAGGGCGTTACCTGGTCTGACAGACCGGGCAGCTCTTCTTGGCGGGTCACCCCACTTAGCATGTAAACGTGATTATAAAAATGTTACGGACAGGTGGGTTACTCCACCCAAGCGGGTTATCTCACATACCTGGGGTTCCCTACATACCTCCAACATCACTTGGGTCTAAACGTTTAAACCCAAGTCAAATTTAGAGGGATTTGTTTGGAGTCATCAGAGCATAACTGGGCTAATATCTCAGAAAATTTGCCCCACAAAGTTTTTGTGGCAAGTACGCCTTTTGGATGTTGTTTTAGAATATCCTGGCAAATCCCGTAATTTCACAAATTTAATTTTTTATGACGTCACACTTTAGTACTCTACAGGTTGAAGATTTTATTGTAGACTAGGGAAACCGGGAATTACCTCTCAAAACTATAAAAAAAAACTTAAATCGGCAAGTTTAGATTTAGGCAACTCAACCAAAAGCTACTCTAAGATCGGGGGGATCAGGGGAGTTTAGTCTAGTGTAGGCTAGCAAAATTTAGCCGAACAAGCTCTGGTATGCGGGTCGAGATGGTTGTGAAGGTGCATTGTGGGACTGTTATGGGGCACGCATTTCAACATGGCGGCAAATTCGTCCCATGGAGAATAAGTTAAAAGAATTTGGTAGAAGATCAAAGCATTTTCTCTTAGGTGATAATTTTATTATTTCTCACAACCCTTTCTCATGATTATGTATTGATATTGTTAGCAGAAAGGTGATGTTTGTCACTTTTGGGACCTGGGCCGGGTTGTTCGAAGCTGGGTTAAGATAACCTAGGGTTAGTGCGAAATTTGAACTCAGATATGAGAGCTTAAAAATCAAATTCAGTTGAATTCTCTTTGCCTACAATTTGACGATTGGATACCCTAAAAAGAACAGAGAAAATTATTCGAGAGAGCGCCTTTCATAAAAAGAAAAAGAAACCCGGGATAAAATTTAACCCCGGGTTAGCGCTAACCGGCGTTCGAACAACTGGGCCCAGAAGGGTTACTTCAACTGTACCATCAGTTGTGGGTTTTATTTGAAATTCCTTATTCAGAAGATGGTCCTTCATTTGCAGGCACAGCGAAGATCGGCTGCTAAGACTGTGAGAGCTTCAACCTCTGAGGACTTGTTAAATGGAGATCAAGCTGGACACTCCGCCGAAAAAAACAAAGGTGAAATGATTAGTCATACTCAAGACACCATCACATGTAAGAAGAAGCGGATAAAACTCATGAGAAAATTTCCTCTTATGCCTCTGATAACAATCTCATGATTGATAATGTTGAGGTTGTGGGACCTTTGTAAGATAGTCTCGTAAAAAGTATGTGATGAGGCGTGGTTTCCTTCCCAGAGAGGTCTTGGGAAGAACCTTCGATCTTCTCCGTCCTCCGGAGTCACCCCCACCTCCCCCCCCCGCCCCCACCAATGAGGCATCCCCATAGCTTTCAGTGGATACAATGTGTGGATTGTGTACCACTTCGTGTACTTAAAGTTCGTCCATCGTTTCGGTGGGGTGTCCTCCGCTTTTAATGAAACAAGAACTTCGCACAAAAAAAGCAGAGACAGTTTATATGTTTTTTTTTCAGACTTGATTCTTGCAAGCTGGATCAGCAAAACCTCGTCACTTCCATTTCTGAATCACATGGATGCCAATAACTCTCAGTTTCGACTTGCTTTACTGTCAAATGATGGGAGCACTTCAGAGAAGGATAGTCGTCAAGGAGAGATTGAATCAGAAGCAACAGCTAATATAAAAAGAAGGCACAGTCTTACCTCAGCACAAAAGAGAGCTCTTATTGTAAAGCGACTTATCCCTCTCGTAATATCTCTGATGATTTTAGGCGGCGCTGTAGCCGTACGGTTTCTAATTCCGTTGCCTTAATAACACGAGACTTCTTCATTTGAAAATGATACACTCACTTCAAATACTACTTGTAGCAATTTAACCACTTTTATTAGTTAACATCCCCATATAATAACCTACGATTGCGGGATTCAGGCTGATCAATTTGTTATTTACCCGGTGCGTGGTGAGAAATCAGCCTGAAATTTTCTTAAAATGTTATTAAAATTTGTTTGAGAAATACCATACATTATAAATTACGAGAAGGTTAATTAACATTCAAAATTAATTAATGTAAATTTTAAAAATTGTCAAATACTATTAGTAATGTACAGTGTAAGTAAACATATAAGTTACTGTATTGATTTCTTATCCTAGCATCATTTTTTATCTTTTTATATTAGAACATTTTTTAATCATAAGGGTGAATGGCACATTTGCATGATGACGTCATTGTATTACTATGACCAGAAACCTTCAGGCTTTTACTTTCTTTTGCAAATTAGAGCTTTTGTTATTTAAACCTCACTGCTATTGCCAAATTTAAATATGAAAGAAAAAACGAAATGATTTTGGTCTTAGCACAAAAATGACTCATCGTATAAATGGCCTATTGGTTCTTATATACGGTATGTAGTGCTTTGTAAACCAACTTTCAGCCTCATGTTCTTAATGCACATGTTCTATTTACATGTATATGCGGGTGTTTATTAAGTATGTTAGTATTAGTATATTGCTAAGTCATTGTGTCAATGTAGTTGTTATTAGTGAAATCACAAAGCGATTCTTGCTAGGTATTTTGCGAATTTTTCCTTAGTTGAACGAAGTCCTCGATATAAGGAACGATTTTCTTTACCCCAATAATAGTAAAATATATGAAAAGGAACCTTGATATAACGAAACCTCAATATTGTCAGTCCCTTGGCCCTTCGTTAAATCGAGGTTCCATTGTAATTTATATGATTTTCAATTCAAATTTATATAAATCTAATATATGTAGTTATTACTATTTTTATATTAAGGTGTTTCCTTATTGGTCGAAGAAAACAATAACACATCGTTGTTGTCATTATTTCCCATTGTTCACGGTTAGGGTTTCGAACCAATTGGCTTTTAGGATTAGGAGAGCTGCCTTCTGACCCTAAAAATATCGCATCCAATTAATGGCTGGGTTTTATTAAAATAAACTACACACAGTTACGCCAGGAAGAAACGCCCTACAGCATTTGAAGGCTGTATGTGCTGTGCATAAGTTTTTTTATTTGTTTTTTTTTATCGCCTTTGCGGTGCAGCATGTAAACGGAGATGCCTTCCACAAATTAGCGCCGTCCTCGAATATGGATCATGCAATATCTTTTAAAGAAAAAGCAATGTACGGTATTGGAACAAGAGCGATTATCGAATTTTTATCGTCGTTTTCTTCTCCAATAAATAATGAGATACCCCTTTGGTTTCCTCGTCTTCCTTGTTAAACAAAGCAGACATCGCAATTATAGTTTTGAAAGTGGCTCCGCGTGATCCCTGTCGGCACAGTCTTAAGTAGTTAGTTGTTTGTGGTCCTGTCTATAAAGTTCTTCCCTCTGTTCCGAATATACAAAGCGAAGCCAAGACTACATGTCTATTCTCGGCTTTCACAGTGGTTTCACTAATCTGGTCTGGTAGTGAAAGGTCATAAACTGGGATTTTGAATTCGTAGAAACAACTAACAGATTTGCTTAAGCGGGGCACATACTAATTGTATATTCCTGGAACAAGGACTGCTGTTCACCAGGGGAAGGCCCTCCTCTCTTTGATGCCAGCAGTATAACTGGTATATTTCAAATGAGAAAAGAAAAAATGACCATTTTTGAAATAAACTTCTCTGGGATTTTAAGTGCATAGCCAAAATGCATAACGACTGAAGTTTCAAAAATCGTCAGGACATAAGTGCAGATCCACCATTCCATACTGAGGGGGGTACCCAAAGTAAGCGACTACTAAAAGACTCAAATTCCGTTAATAATGAATGCATTAATCTTTTAACCATAATAGTAGTATACGATGTTGAAACTTAACCGTTTTGGTGTCTTTCCCTGTCTTCCCTTTATTAATATGCATAAGGGTCGAGTCCATGACGTCACCCATTGTTATAACCTAGGGAAAAAGTGCCCTCCTCCATACTGAGGGCACTTTTTGTTTTGCTGCATAGTTGAACTGTTCCATGCCTGTTCTGACCAAATGGAGCTATTTCCTGCCGCATCTCAATTTCTTGTTTTGCTGCAGTTGGACGGTTTGTATCAACCATGTCCATTTTTTTTTGAAGAAATGGACATGGTTGATACAAACCGTCCTTTCTCCATCGCCGTCTGAAGGAAAGAGACAAACCATCGACTTATCAGCACGAGAAAGCAGCCCAAATTTTGCGTTCCCCGCGAAATATGATGTCTGAATCGCAAGGAGCGCTAATATTCTATCCATAAGCAAGGACGCTTGCAACTTCTCAGCCGTCGTTTACTATTTGAAAAACCCCGAAGGGTACTCCACAAAATTTTACACGGAGAGGCTCCGCCCAGAGTTCCACACACTTACCATGTGATACACCAGACAGAAAAGGTAACTCTTTCGTATATCTTCTATTGACAAATGATGTCCCTGTCACACACCAAATCTAGACCCCTTATCCCTTTTAACTGCTGTAAATGCACCATTTTTTAATATGAATAAATCACTGAACTAGAAAGGTCTACCTGCCTTTCTTAAACTTCAACTAATGAAATCCCTACCCTTTAATATACCTGAGGGTTCCCCTTTCGGGCGGAGCCTTCCTCTATAGGCCATTACGGGGTACTGCCGGGTGAAAAGAAAAAACAGTACCCTTTGCCTCTATTTTTATATTGCACTTCTTTACTTTGTTATATACTTACTTCATTTGTAAAAGGTTTTCCAGGCTGCTAAGCTATTGTGGTACTGCTGATTAACCGTCACGGAGACAAGGATATCAATCGACGTCAGGTGGATTTCGATTACAGCGCTCTTGCTTCCAAAGTCTTCAACAACAATAAAGCATCGATTAATTTAAACTTGGAACAACAAATAACTTTTTTAGTGGCACCTTTAACGGTACGCTTGACAGCTTCACAGCGATCTGGAGTGGATTTTAGCAGATTTGCTGTTCACTTGTGTGTAACTCTACTAACCGTCAGTGTGTGTGTCTGCGTATTGGGCAAGCAACTGTTATACTGAGTCGGTTGCCGACACCACAGGTAGCCCAACCGTAATATGAGAGTTTGTATGGGAAAAATAGAGTTTGAAACTTGTCTTTGCTTTAACGAAGTTTCATCTGACCTGACAGTGTAATAACTATTACACTGTCAGGTCAGATGATATAAAAGTACTCAAATCGCGCTGAAACTTCGTGAAAGCAAAGACAACGACTCCAGGTAACAATATTTACACTTTATTGATAACTTTTATCGCTTTTACTTCATTCATTTGATCTAAGTTTCAAAATCTGTTTTTCCCATACAGACTCTCATATTACGCTTGGGCTACCTGTGCTGACACTGCCATCAGGATGTGCTCTGTCTTTGTTTGATGCCGAGTGAGAAATTGTATGGATTACAGCGAATTTGATTTAAAGCTCAAATCAGACTATCTGTTGGATTTTCTTTCGCTGTGTGCGCTATCTAACCGCTACACTTAAAGCATATAGCCGTCGTCGCGCGTGCTGGATTAACGAGCTAACTTTGCGCTCGCAGCGGGGATTAACGACCTCTGTGCGTGCGAGCATGGATAATAGTCTTTCTATTTTCCATGGTGCGAGTTAACATATTCTGCGCGTGTTCACTTAATTAACAATTAATGAATGAGGCTGAGTATCTTATGAAGAATTATGGAGAACTAGGAGGGTGTTATCCGTCGAGGCCGTAAGCCGAGGCGGATAACACCCTACGAGATCTCCAATATTCTTCATATGAAACGAAAGCCGAATTCAATAATTGTTTTATTATTCATTGAAAAAAATTCCTAGTTTAAAAACATAGCTAACACAAACTTACGTGCATCGATGTTAAGTTTATCGTCGATAGTTTACGTTTAGGTTTGTCCAGCTCCGCAAATATTCTCCAAATAGCAGATGTCGCCCTCCGAGTTGTCTTCTAGCTGTTTTTGCTATGTTTTTAGCCGTTATTTCCCCTAGTTCCAGCTGTAGTTGTTACTCTTGAAACGAGTGAAGTGTCCGCCATTTTAGTTTTTACAACGAAAACAACTCAATCTCGTCCCCACGTCTTCTCGGTTAACGGTGCATTAATCTGTAGAAGGCTGCATTTTTGACGTCATTTTCTCGTTAAATACAAAATTCTTCCAAGTTTGGCCATCAGTAACTGGTTATGGTGAATTATGCGTGTGCTTTTAGCCAATCAGAATTAGGGAAATATTTTAAATGAATAATAATTGGACTTAACTGGCTGTAGTCATGAAGGATCGAGGTGGTACGATATCGCCTGCAGTCTTACTACGTTTCCTGCGTCCATTGGTGTGCTCCGTGGATACACATGAACACCCCTCCAAGCAGTTTGTGAAAAGTATGCCACGAGAACCATTTCATCCAGTTTCTTGATATCCAACTGGAAGAATGAAAATTAAGTCTGCTGCATGGTGGCGGGTGCAAGCAATCGGTTTGGTGCTTGGCCTCGTAGAAATTCTTGAAGTCAAGAGTACCATATTCTGCGAATCGCACGGTCATCTTCAACCTAGCTGATGTTGCTCTCGTCCGAAACGAAGATGTATGATATACCGTAAGAACTATGTAAGTTTTTCTCTTTTTTTATTATTTTTTTGTCTTTTTTTTACTAGTGAATTAATTGTTTCACAGAGTGCCCACATTGATAGCAGTTATATAACCGAAGTGGTTACCCTGTAAACATCCTAATTCCATGATGTTTTTTTGAAAAATATTTCGATTCTGTGTGCAAAACAAAAGAAGGAATTAGGGTCATAAAATAAGTTCTCTTTTGGTAAACAGGGTTGCAAAAAATGAACGTTTTTCTGTCTTAAACGGGCTCGAGGTTTGAAGGCGCGTCTCGGCGGCCGGCACCTCGATCCCCCAAAAACGTCCCTTGAGAAGCCTGCGAACCCCTTCGCGCTTTCCCCCCTCCCCCACCCCTCCTCCCCGCTTTTTGAGCCTGCCTCCCAGGCTATACCTTGAGTGCCTCTCGG